TAACACCAAAGGAACAATCCACAGTCAGAACCCAGAACAACAATCAACAAATAAAACAATAGTACCAAATATCAAACAGCACCAACAAAGAACACTGCCGAAGTCACCAAATACCAAACAGCACCACAGAAGGAACATTGCTGAAGCACAACCTCACTGCCGAAGCCAACCAACCTCACTGCCAAAGCCAACCAGATTGCCCACTGCACCAGACCTCACTGTCAAAGCCAACAAACCGTACTGCCGAAGCTAACCAGACATACCGAAGCCTTCAGTTGTCCAAAATCAAGCCGAAATATTATTCAAGAGCTTTGAGTCTCTCAAGAAGTAACCCATAAGGCTTAGTCGTGCCTCTTAGAGAAGATTTGAACCAAAAATTGCAGCAAAAAACCCTTGTTTCAACATATTGAAGAAATTCGAAAATTTGGGCCAAAAACATTCAAAAAATAGAAATACTTACGAGATGTGCTCAAAGTTGAAAACAAATCATACCAATAGAAAACCCATGCAATTTCGAGCCTGATGGTGATCTTCACGATCGGAAAAGGATGACGTCATCACCATGACGTCATCACCGGTGATGCTGACGTCATTCTCCGGCAGTCCAGAAAAAAGAAGGTAAAAAAAAATTCTTTCCTGCTGACGTCTTAGGTTTTAGGCTCTGATACCATGATAGAATTAATCATAGAGAAGAGAAAGAGTGAAATGTATTGAACCAAGAGCAAGTCTGTAATACACCACTTAACTTAGAAATACATAAAGTAACACTTATATAGTAGGGCAACACAACATAAAGAGAATGCCTAAACTACCCTTATTATGAATATATGAATACTCTAACACAAGCAACTCATACACAAGCTCCAAGCAAATCTATTGTAGGACTGGCAACATTCATTATGTAGGAAAGATAACTGTAAAAAAATAAAAATATGAGAAAAAACTTTGCAGATGACAGATAAAGAGGAAAATTCCACTATTGAGTATTAAATTAACCAGAAAAGAATTATACTTTCAGTACCTGAGCTTATTATATGAGTCTGAACGCATAAACAAGAGTCTCCACAAAGGGTCCACTCTATCACGTTTGAAAAATAATTAGTATTTGCAGATCAGGACATTTGTAACCACCCAGTTGTTCTATGCATATCTTGAATAATCAAACGAACAAAATCTACAACTAAGCAGGGATTATTTTAGGCTGTGCTAATCAAGAATATGGAATTGTACCTCTCAATCCGATCCACACCTAGACAAACACACATGGATGTAGACATTTTTATGATATGTATGTAGCATTGCTACTGTCCATATGTAGTCCATGAAGATACATTATAGGTTTTGTCAAGGACACAGGTTTCAGTTTGATGCGGACAGAAGAAACTTGAAAAAGTTCACAATTGTGCCAAAAAGGCACAAGGATAAGCAATCATATCAATAGGCCGATGGTAATCAATATCAGTAACTATGGAGGAGGCACTTTAAACTTCAAGATGACAAAGAGCCAGAGAAACCTTTACATTAAAACACCTTTATGTAGGCATGTCAATCCGTTTGGGGCTAGCTTTTTTCGGTGAAAATTTGAGGTTTGAAAAGTTTCATAAAGGTGTAGAGTCAAAAAATTCCTCATGGTGTTTTTTAAAAAGTTGTAAAAAGTTAAAAAAGTCTGTTTAGAGTGACTTTCTAAATTGTTTTTTTTGTGTCAAAATAAAAAAATAATTACTTGTATATATAGATTATGTATAATAGTTCCTAAAATATGAATTTTAAATTTTTTTACGTTACTAATAATATTTTATAAATATAATAAACTAAAAAGTTATATGGAACCTGTGACAAAACGCCAAAAAACTAGAAGAAAAATCCATAAAATCAATTTCTTGAATCGGCCTAAATAAGTCTTTTTGGGTCAAATCTTTCTTTCTTAAACTATTGTTTCTATGTCACAAACAGAGATCTTTGGCATCTATATGAAAGTGAAGCACCCTAATTTTTGTACACTTTAGCCTATGTTGAAGCCTTTCAAGTTTGACATTCGGCAAAAGAAAAGATTCCATCCAGTGGTTGAAGTACAGTATAGCTGAATTGAGTTAAGTTCAGCCCAAAAAAAAAATAGAATCAGCGAAAGGAGGAAAATAACTATTCAGTTGGCAAAAGCAAAACTTTATATGGTTAGTCTCATCACATGTAAATGTACTNGAATCAGCGAAAGGAGGAAAATAACTATTCAGTTGGCAAAAGCAAAACTTTATATGGTTAGTCGCATCACATGGNAGTATAGCTGAATTGAGTTAAGTTCAGCCCAAAAAAAAAATAGAATCAGCGAAAGGAGGAAAATAACTATTCAGTTGGCAAAAGCAAAACTTTATATGGTTAGTCTCATCACATGTAAATGTACTACCAATTAAAAGTTGAACCTTCCCAACGCATTCATGATCATCATGAAAAATAGGCCACCACCGAGTTCTATCATTCTGCACAGGTTGGAAAATATCTTTTTAGGAAACCCATTTCTAGTACGAAAAGAACACAGTGATTGAAGATCCATTATCTGTTGTGGATGAGATTGGAATTATAGGTCAACCATGGACCGTTTTACTTGTATCTTGAACTTCAAGTAAAAAAGTACCTGCTTGGTTTTCTGGAAAGCAGAAATTACAGACAAAGGTTTTCTTAATGTTAACTGAAAAAATGTTAACCCTAAGATATGTCTACCTTTCAGAAAAAAAAATCTCACGATCTGATTTTGGACTACAGATAAGAATGCCAACATAACGACCTTTTATCAGGATAGTTAAACCATCTTAAGTCAAATACCCAAATAAAAACATCCAAGACATGAAAATCACCAATTGCAAGTATCAGAAAATGGTTCGGTGTGAGTATCCATAACCAGTATAATAAAACAAAAGAAAGTCTTCGGCTACATGAATCTTGTTTTTCTATTGTACTCTATCGAGGGCCATTTTTCTGTTAAAACATAAGCTATCATATCCCTTTTTACTATCTCATTCAAAGTTAATTTTGACTTACCTTTACCTCCTGGAGTCTTGCATTACACCTACGACCATTTGAATGATTCTAAGTAATTTATACTTCCGATAGCTATCCAACAACTTGGGGCATACTGGAATTTCTGGTTGGATGGAATCCAATGGATGCGTACTGCCTTGAGGTCAATCGAGAGTCAATCCAGGATCCAAGGTTATGCTATCAGCCACCCACACTGAAGAATTGTAATCTAATGGTTAATATACCAGGTCCAAAGCCTGTTGGGGGGGTGAACTATTATGGTCAGCAAAAAAAGATTCCAAATTTTTAGGTCAAGAAGCAAAAACCTTCAGATGTCAACGAAAATGAAGCGAGTCTAAGAGAATTGATGCTGCTTTTTCACAAGTGATTGAACATGTCGGACATACTCTGCTCCAACTTGCATATATTTCGCCCCATGCAGTGAATATGTGTTCTTAAGTTTCCGCCTTGGTATTACCCGGACCTTTCTCAGTGGCCATACTCAAGAAATTATCTCATGTCATTTCCAATCACACATCCAAGTAGTATGGTCTTCTGTTGAGATTTGAGAAGTTCTCTTCAAGAATGCGTTATATGTTAGAACTACCAATTCCCCCCTTGTATCTACAGGGAAAAACTCCTTATCTTCAAAAATCTTCATTTTTACCCAATAAAACTGAACTCACAATTAGTATCATGAAGTTCTAACAATATTTATGAAATAGAACAGTTCAGAAGAAATGAAAAATTAAGAAACAATTTGATGCTTTCGGTTTAGATACATAAACTTCATTGCAAAGTGGCAGAAAATTTATTTGAAGTGGAAAGTATCTCCACAGCCATTCATCCATGTAGTTTTACCTTACATACACACGAGGAATAAATTAGATTGTGTAATGCAAATTTAGGAAAAAATTAGGACAATATAATTATCAATTGTCCATAGAAGTAATTCCAAATGAATGAATTAAAATCTACCATACAAACAGATAAAACAACTAAAATTCATTAAATTGCTGATGAAAACCTGATTGAACAAAAAGTTGGTCAATATTGTTAAAACGGAAGCATAAGGAAAAACTTGATTGAAAAAGCAGTTTAACTATAATCTATACCTTATGGTATCATTATATTTCTTTCAGATGTTTAAAAATGAACCAACTGGAAAAAACTGATAAACCTAATTATGAAGAAATCAGATGCTTATAATTTAGTAAAGGGAATTCATTGAAAATTGACTGATAGCCTCTTTGAATCAAATGGTATTCCAAGTCCATCGTTCGATTTGCCAATGCAGTTTATTTAGACCATACCTTCCACCCGAATCTTTCCAATTACCTTCTTCACTTTCAAGGGGCATGCTTGTTCAGTACTCTTAGTAGCACTTTCAATTGGTTGTCTGCCTCGAGGTTGCAAAAAAAATATGTGTATTCTATAAAGCAAAAGAAACATAAGAGAAACCCATTTGGACTTAAGAAGGAGAACTAGAGCTGAAAAATAGCTAAAAAATTTAAGTGCATACCCGTGCATTCAGGAGAAGCAGGCATTCATCACGTAGAAACTCGGGGGCCTCTGTGCAATTTCTTTCCCATGCATTCAGGCATAGGCCAATGCATGCGTCATAAAATACCAGAGTGTGCTAGGCATTTTGACCATTGCCAGGAAAAAGTTCAGATTTATAAATGGGATATGAATACATGTTTAATTATAAACATGTATCTATATATAGATAGTGCTTTGCATAACAACATGGGAATGGACTTTGGATTTAAAATTGACCATTCAATGAGGGAAACAATTGAGCCCCAAAGAAAAAGACCATGGAATTGACTCTACAAGCCTAATAACTACAGAGAATAATTGATGCATAAGAAATTAACACAACTCCCTCAACCCACGGCTACTTGGGCAATATACTGCATAAATCCTTATCCCTATTCAGGCCAGTTTAAGTCTGTATCCTCTAAATCTTTGGCAGTCGTATCTATTTACGGTATGGGTTGATGTATAAGAGAAACAACAGTTCCATTAGCTGTTATAAAGTTGGCCATGGTCAGTAGATGAGCACTAACTGTGGCTAAACTGAAGAAGTACTGAACAACAAAAGGAGTTACGTGAAATAAGTTTAACATCAACAACACCTGGTGCCATAATAGGGGGACGGATCCAGTGAGCTTGTTTGCTCATGATGGCCTGCTTCCATGTCCCCAATTGTGTTTCTATTTTCCTTGTACAAGACACACTTGTCAGCATTTTTTCAAAAATTTAAAAGGTCCGCAAAAAAAAAAAGGCACATTTATTGAACAGAAAAGAGAAAGCTCTCCAATCAGAAAAGACTTCTTCTAGGTTTTGGAGATGGTGTTCCCCCATCAGAAAAGACTTCCTCACCTCCATAAGAATCCATGACTCAGACTTTTCGAATCTGGAACCTGCGCCCAGCAGGGTCTGCCAGCTCTTAGTGGCTCACTTTCAGCTTCAGAGATATGTCCTCTTCTAATATCCATTATGGGAGGGGCGCTCTGAGTTCCCAAATCTGCAGCATCACTGAACATGCCAATTGCGGTACCTGCATTCACCATCAACATCAAGCCCTATAAACAACCAACAAAGATACATACAAACACAAAACTGGATCACTTTATGTTCTAGAAACCATGTGACATTCGTTCTTACATTCACCATCAACATCAAGCCCTGTAAACAAACAATAAAGATACAGTCCTCGATTCAAAGTGGACCCATATCTCCCTTTCGGTCCATCTCCTCTACTTCCATTTAAATTCATGCTCGATTTCATACCAAATATTTCTTCATCGTAGCATTGTACAAAATAGGAGATTTGGATAATGGGAATTCACAATCCAACTTCCCTGATAAAGGTGATCTACTTTGGTGTTGTTCCTGATCCGAGTTCTGCGAGTAAAGATTGTAAATTGAATTCAAGATTGGACTATTCTAAAGAAAACAGAATACATATATGTGTGTGTGCGTGTGTGCAAGATCATCGAAAGAACACTATATTTTTGTACCTCAAAGTGCAATATCAGGAACAAATATATAACAATCCTGGGGAATATGGGTAAGTTGTTTAGGCCTTAGTACCTGCTTGATCCAGCGCTGTCATCCAAGCCTTCTGTGAACATTTTACCCTCCGTTTGTTCGCAGAGAGAGAGAGAGAACTGTGTAGTGACGTTCTTGAGAGAACTGAGACCGAGAATAAAGCATTGGGGAATTGTTAACGGCTAGTTTGAAACTCGTTCACTTTCCTATGTAGGAGTCCCATCATTTGAATAATTTAACAACCTGAAATATTTTTCTTTTTATTTATTTATTTATGGGTCACAGGAAAGCCCGACTACAAAACCTATAGAAGGTCCATCGGGTCATCCTCAAGGCCAATGAGGCCATCCTGATTCAAGATGAAAATTTGAATCCATTGACATCCAATTAGGCTGTGGATGTGGATCATATCCGACTTTCACAGGTTTAATAAATAATTCAATTTTCGCTTTACAAAAAATAATTATTTTTTTTGGCCGTTAGATAAAATAAGTATAAGTACAAATACTATTGTCTTAACCATGCCATTTAACTCTAATGGAATGTTTGGATGTTTATTTTTTGAGGGGTTTGAATTGAATATATGAAATCTTTCCAAATCTTAGTCCAAATGATTTGTACATGGATTTTTTTTTTAAAAAAAAATCTATCTAATTTCATGTTTAGTAAGTCATGTAAATGTACCTGGGAGTCACGGATTTATGTCAAATTTTAATACTTAATTTATTAAAATGACCGTTATTATGGGAATAAAATAATAAATTTTTGAGTAAAATAATTTTTTGAATTCAAATTCAATCTTTTCACTTTTGAACCCACCCCTCGATAGCACCAAAAAAAAACCCACCCTTCCTTGGGTTTCATCAAACTCTCATTTGTGGATTTTAATCAACTATTCTCTACGGCTTGAAAATTGGCCAAGATTCATTTATTCTATGAATCTCGAACCTCAAATCTTCAAGCAAACATAGGTTTAGAAGGTATATTGGACTATTAGTTATAACTCGTTCCTAAAGGCACAATAAAATATAAAATTCGAGCTCTCAAAAAATCAATCTCACTATATTAAATCTTTTCAACATATGTATTCTACCATATATGAATAATATTTGAAATAAAAATTATTTTAAACTACAAATTAATTAAATATTAAATGATTAAACATGTTAATAAGTGATGTGAGGTTTTTAGGGGAAAAAATATAAAAGGGCTAAAAATTTGAATCGCTATGTGTTTTATTATACAGACCAGTTAGAAGGAAAAAAAAATTAGAGTATACAATTAAAATGTCCACCTTAAATAAAATTCTTAACTGCGTTCCCCAGATGACATATGTTATTAAAGTTTTATTAATGGGTATTAGATGTATTTTGTTATTATTAGATGTATATAATCGTCCGAGATAGAGTTATATGAGAGAAGAAAGAAAATGTTTAAAAACTGAGAGATAGGAAAGAGAGTATGGTACAGAGGAAGAGAGAGTTATATGAGATATGAGAGTCTTAAAATTATAAAAAGAATGAAAATTCAATTAGGGAGAGAGAGTTGTATTAGTTAGTATCGGAGAGAGAATGAGTTAGATAAGAGAGAGGGAGAGATAAGAGTCTTAAAAAAATTNTGAGAGAGAGGGAGAGATAAGAGTCTTAAATAAAAAAAAAATCGCATGAAGACCATCGGATCAATAATCGTCAAGCGATTTAAATCACAAAATACTTAAAACAAACTTTTCTATCTATTTTGTTATATAGATTTTCACAAACTCATTTTTTAAATTCAACCTAAACCCACAGACCAAACATGGCCAGGGAATGACCAAATGGGCGGAACCATAGCTAAGGGGCCATGGCTCCCCCTCAGGTTTCTAAAATCGTGTTTACTCCCCAAAATTATGTTAACCTCCTCATTAAGTTTATTATTTCATTTTATATGACCTCTTAAGTTTTTAAAATTATACTTTTGTATTCTTAAATTATGATTTTGAATTTTTCTTATCCATCAAATATTTAATTGAACAAATCCATACAACATCTTTATTTGAAAGACCTAGACACTCTTTGTTTCCTTTTAATCTTTTTATTTTTTCCTTAATCTGCAAAGGCGTGATAATTTTAGTTATTCTTAAATAATTACGCAATAAAATTGACTTAAATTATTGATTATTGATGAATTGATCTATAAGCGTCGGACATCTAATTAACTTGACAAGTTTGAATTGAGTTTAATAATTTATTAAAAATGAATAATATTATGATGTATGATGTAGAAAATAATTTTGGTAGATTTTACACAAATAAAAATTTAATATTAGTAATAGCTTCGTGAATGATTCTCCATTTAAGAAAAATATATAATTACTTCACAATTTAAACCCCTCAAATAAAAAATCTTTGCACCGTCCCTAAGTCTAATCATGTTATCTACTCACGAGTCTGGTTGAATGTGAGTCAAAACCGTGTTGGCACTTTGAGCTCAACTACTCATGTGAAGGTTTTGTACGTAATCGACCAAAAAGATCAAACTAACGGACCTCAGCAACTCCAACCTTAGCTTGTTGACATTTAGGCTTGGCTTTAATCAAATTCTACTTTATACCATGTAATGAGGAAATTAAGCCCCATTGTCAAGCTTAAGGTCAATCTCAAATATAACTTGAACTCTTTTACCCCCTGATGATCTCTTTGTTATATTTTGGGGATGATAGTCTCAAATTGGTAGGAATTTGTCCAAGTTACAAAGGGCAAGGAGCTGCATATTGTAATGTTTCGAGATTAATTATAAGTCTAGAAACAACTATATTTATCTGAGAATTTGTATTGTAATCACAAGTTTCATGATAGAAATGGGCTTCATCACGGGAAATAATATTTTATATAAATCGAAAACTACACATTTTCATAAATATCACCAAAAAAACTATAGATTTTCTGATGAAAATATAAATGAGAAAATGTAAAACAAAAACTTTAAGTTGTTTGGAGCCATGAACAAAAGTTTATGGAAGTTGTGGAAAATGATGACTAGCAGACAAGGTCATTAAATTGCTCAATTATTCAAACTGGAAACTCTTACGACAGCCAGCCTATCTTCTTGTGAATGTTCTTGTCCTCAAGAATTGCAGTGTAGTATTTATTACATGACATAAAAATCAGACAACTCCTTTTTCATAAAGGGAAACTTTAGGGGAAAAAAAAATTGGTACCATACCATCGACTACAGTAAAATTATTAAGTTAAAAGTAAAAATTATAATTATTCAAGGGAATGTTATGATCAATAATAGACACACATAATCGATCATGACAGTTACAACTTTTCTTTTAAAAGCCATAACCTAAATTTTGAAAGTTGTAATTTTAATATTGATCACAATTTTTCATAATAGATTATGTCTTTTAAAAATTATAATTTATATCTCTAAAAATTATAATTTTCGGTAGCTTTTCCCCTTCAAAAATATTTCTGCACCAACAGCACTCAAACAAAAATCCAACAAACCGCTCAGAGAGAGAGAGAGCTCAAACATGTTATCACAGTGTTACACACTAACATGAATAGCTTCATATGACATACCGCTCAGAACATGTAAAAATTCAACTACAAAAAGAGAGAAGAGAGACACAGAGTGTGTTTTGATCAAACATAAACACGAATAGCCACATGCCAATAGTAAGTTTTTCTTCCTCCTTAATCAGATAAAGTGAGAACCCAAAACCAGTAGTAGAACACAAGAAAGCAAACGAAATACCTAGTAACAACTTTACTGAGCATATATATGGACAAACCCTAATGCCAAAACTAGTAAACTTGTTTGATTTGCTTGATCTAGCAAACTATCGGACCGAGATGCTTGATTCCCCAAGAAAAAAGAGTCAGATCAGAGAGAATTGTTGGAGCAGTTGGAGATAAAGAGATTGACCCTTCATTCAGAAAAGCTTGGAACTTAAAAGTAGGGTTTCTGTATGATCAGAGACCCTTTTTTTCATCCTCATCTTCAGAATCAGCTCCACCATCTTCTAGTTGATCATCTTCTTCTTTTCCTTTGAGTTGTGTTATGGGACCTTTGTGCTGATGGTGCTGGGGTTGGTGGATGATAAGGAAAGGGGCAGGGGTGAGGATGCAATGATGGTGGTGAAGAGTTAGAGGAAAGACCACAGAGGAGGGCATGATGATTACTGCTTTGTGTTGCCGTTGAAAGAGTGAAGAAAATTCCAAGTTATTGCGTGCCACCTCTCTCACAAGATTGCTACTTGCTAGCTAGGTCTGTGTGTGTGTGTGTGTGTGAGAGAGAGAGTATGAAAAATTACCAAGAAACACATGGTCCCAGCTTTTTCATTCTTTTACCCTAGTTAGACACCTGTGTACAGGTCTAGTGATTCTAGTCACAATCCATAAATTTGATATAAAATTGATAAAAAATTAATAAATCTAAAAATTTGGTGTGATAAATAGATGAACCTGTGAAACCTATTAAATGAATAAATCATTATAAACCTAGCTTAGTTAGACATGAACAAAATTACATACAGTTTATAAATGACATGATATGAACCCGAATATATATATATATATAAACTTAATAAATTTTGATATTACACAAATTAGAAATACGACTTCATGCTGCTGACCCCATTAGCAACCCTCATATTTCTGTGAAACAAAATTTGCAGCATGACTGACCAATAAACAACTGCAGCGTGAGGCTACTGAGTCCAAGACTTGTAAGTTGTAACCACAGAAGTGCAAGTTGACAGAGTTATTGAATACCAACTTCTATTATGTCTAAATCCCTAGCCTTGACATGCATGTAACCATTACCCCTGAAATGATTATTACTAAGTTATGCATACGAAATTAATCAAGTATACCTGGTTCGGTGCAACATGCATTGGGTGTCGTTGCCTAAGGCTATTATAGGTGGTGTAGCTGATATTGTTATATTGTTATATTCTCTTTAAAAGGCTGTTTGTGGGAGTACATGAAATATGCTTACCCTTTATTGGGTTTAGGAAAAAGATATGATTTGCCAAAGACATTACCAGTAAGAAATAAAGAATGACAGAGGAATCATAGAACTATGGAATGACACGGGAATGAAATCAGGAGAGAGAGATAGAGTTTCCTTGAGCATGGTGGCTGTTTAGCCTGACTGCGCGCAGAGAGTATTTTGGTAATGGCAATGGAGACAAAGCTGTGAGGAGTTCTTGGAGTGAAAAGAACCTATTGCTCATGTGTACTTTGATTCATTGAAGGATAAACTTCTGAAAAACCATATACTTTGAGTGGGTACCACCTAAATATTCCACCAGCTCTGACGATTTGATTCTTGAGACCATCTTACAGGTTGATTGGATGTCTTTAGCATTTAATTCTCTTTTTTCTTCTCTTTTTCAAAGGACTGCTAGGAAATGGAGGAGAGACTAATAAGCTGAAAAGAACAATTAAAGGAGGGATGCAATGTATCAACCATTCATGACATTGGTACAATGTATTTACTGCATGGTTTATCAATTTTTTCTACCATTCATGACATTGGTTCAATGTATTTACTGCATGGTTTATCAATTTTTTCTATGGTAGTTTGGTTGTTTAGGTTACTTAAAAATAACTTTTTTCGTACCGTACTGAAAATTATAGGCCACTCAAATTAAATTATAGCTCAAATAAATCAGATAACTACCCAATGGTCTCGATCTAGGAACAATCCCAGAAACATGGGATCAATGTTTAATAGTTATTTACCTCAAGGACTTGTTAGTTAAATCTTATTGAGTCCTATATTGTTTTTAAGATGATAACAAATTAGTACCACTTCTCTTCTTTTTTTTCTTATCATAATGTCTGAAGTTTAATCTTTTGAGGAATATATATTTTTTGTGTCTTGATAATGGAGGACAACTACAAGTCTGTGTTTAGATTTTGAAAATCACCCCTTCTAACCCTTTGCCAAATGACTTTATGTTTGACCCTGGAAAAGTTACCCCCACTTGAACCAACTTTCTCATCCTCTTTGAGTGATTTGTTTTTTGTGGAAAACCAAAGTAAGTTGATGGCGGGGCAAAGTAGAACTCTAAACAAAAGCTAAATTTTCTAGATTCCAATAAAAATTAATAGTATTTTTGGTCCCTAAAGTATGTATTTTTTGTCAATTTAGTGCTCATTGTATCAATATTATAAATTTAATTTTTAAAGTATTCAATCCGCGTCACTTTGGTTTCTAATCAGACAAAATGTTTAGTTTTTTGATGGAAATAATCTCACGTGTTATTTTTTAAGATGTCCAAAATGTGATTATTTCGTCAAAAACTTAATGATCCGTCTGTGTAGGGACCAAATTGATACGAATTGAATACATTAAGGACCAAATTGACAAAATTAATACAATGAAGACTAAACTAACAAAAAATATATAATTTAATAACTAAAAGTGTTATTAACCCTTCAAACAACTTTCACAGTAAACAAGATCTAAAGATCATAGTCTCACATTCTTTTGTCTCCAAGTCCCATTGGATGTTCCTTACATTATACTAAGCATCTTTGAGCAAGCTTTCTACAACTCATAGCATTTTGCTATGCCATTTGTTTTTTTAAAGCTCAAGAATCGTTGTACTTTCGTGTGTTGTAGAACTATAGTTGATAAGTAAATTCATTATGCACATTACAATTTACAAACCACACATATTTGATTAACTCACTGTCTTATCCTAGTCCCTTTGGGTGTTCATTACACTTATACTATGCATATGGGCTGTCATCCTCTAGCAAAATTTCTACCACTCTACATTGTTACCATGTGATTTGTTTTTGTCTTTTTTAATACTCGAGAATCGTCTACACAAATCCGTCAGACGCATAATATATCAGGTTTGAAGATCAAGGATCAATTCTTCTAATGAACTTCGTTCCTTGAAAGTTTTTCTTCATCAATTTTTTGTTCCTAATTTTGAAAAACTTGGAGATAACTATTTAACATAAAAAAAAAAAAAAAATGACATGTGTACATCACGTGATATAAATACTCTTAAACCAAAATAAACATGTGCAACACTCAACATTTCAGAAGTTATATATATGTAGCCAAGTGATTTTCTTTTATTGCCATGAATGAAGTTAAATCTACTTCTAATTATTAAGAAAATGAAGCCCTCTGATTCACTTCATGTGATTCCATACAAGTTTTTTTCTTTTTCGTATAAACTAATTTGTGTGTCCCACAAACTACTTTCATAGTAATTTGTCATCGAGTGTGCACGCCACATAACCTATGTAGTACTCATTGAAAATTTTCTCGCCTACACCGGACCCAACAATTCAAAATTAGTTGGGTCACAAGATCCAAGTTGCAAGGACCTACTCCATGAGCAGAGACGGTGCATGAGAAAATTTTCGGTGAGTTCTACACAAGTCATGCAGTGTGCACACTAAATGAGAGACTGTCATAAAAGCATTTGTAAGACACACAAATTGGTTTATTCAAAAAAAAAAAAAAATCTAGCAAATAGATATTCATTGAACATGTATAATTTTTTATCGGTAATATACACTACATTTCATTGTGTTAAATCCACTGAAAAATTTCTCCCTTGTAGGCCTATTGTCATTACATGTGTGAAGTGGATGGTTGACATTTAGACACCATCAATTACGTAAAGTATGTTAATATTAAGAGTCATTGATATTAACTTTTCAATAACTTAATATTAACATACTTGATCTTTTTTTATGACGGTGAACACAGCTGTCACAAAAGTTTTGATTGTGATAGTTTTTTATTTGAATTATAAATATTAAATCCAAATAAAATAATTTAATGAATTGATTTTTCATGCATCATATTTCTTTTTTTTTTTTGAACCATCATGCATAATTGGCAAAAAGAGACTCATTGGGTTGAGTATTTATCTTCGATTAAATAACAAAGATAATAAAATCAAATATATATATATATATATATACACACACACAAAAATACACACACACATATTAGTACATCAAAACAGACACACCTACATTAATATACCAAAACATACACGCACATATACATACCCCCTCAGGCTAGGACCCAACCCAACCCTGAACTTGACTTGACCTTGACCTCAGACCCGAATCCCAACCCCAGACCCCAACTCTGTGTATATATGTGTATTTTGGTGTAATAGTATTATATTTTGGTGTACTAGTGTATGTGTATATTTTGGTGTAATAGTGTGTATATTTATATTTTGGTGTACTAGTGTATGTATATGTTTTTTTATAATAGTGTGTGTATGTGTTTTGTTATTTTAGTGTATGTGTATTTTAGTGTAATGATGTGTCTATTAAGAGTTTTAATTATTTTATGGGTTAATAGATTTAACTTAACCCGTTATAATACAAATTATTATAACTCATTTAATATGCTAGTTGAAAATTGATTAAATTTATTTTGGACCCAATTAATTTAACTCAGTTCGTAACCAACCCAACACACTCATTTATCACTTCTAATTATGATACATTAACATTTTCATTCGAAAGGTGAGCTATTAGGTTGGTTTGTATTGCATACATTGTTTTGGGGTCCAATGTAAAAAGTAAATATTAGGTGTAACTCTTGCACCATATCAACATTAATAATACGGTATAACTTTTCAATAAAAAAAAAGAACAAAAAAATAAAATAGAGTTTATTTCCTTTCATGGAGGTGGTAGAGATTAATCTGTTATTTATGTTGGTGAGCATCAAGATTATGCTGGTGCTGATTTGCTACTGCATTTGGCTGCTTTGGTATCACATGAACCCTTGTTCTTGTGATTGCTTGATGTTTGTTGATGCTGTACCGTCATGGTTGCTGGCTTGCTTTGGTGGGTTCTGCTGGTGCTGATTTTGCTACTGCAAATGGCTTGCGTTGTTTGTTCGAGTTGGATGAATGGGTTTCATGCCCTGTTTTTGTTTACCAATGTATTCTTGTCAACAATTCTGTGGAAGGTACTCTTACTCAGGACATCTCTTATGGAATTGTGTTTTGAACCTTAGCTTTTTGGGTTTTGATGTTTGTCTTTGAGTCCTATGTGACTTCACTGTACATTTTGTGGGTGATTACCCTTTGTATTTTTGTTTTATATTAATACATTTTATCTTCCGAAAAAAAAAACATAACTGAGTATTCATTCCCTTAAAAAACAACAGATTAATCTCTTCGTCGAATCTCTTCTTCAATGGAATCAGGTCTCTCTCTCTCTCTATAGATATACGTATATACATATACATTTATTTTTGTTCGTACATATATTTATGTACATACATATGTTTACGGTTATATAGTTGTTTATATGGAAAAGATGAATCTAACTGCAGTTAGGGAGGCAAGCGAGCATGGACTACGGAGTGGCACATTGAGGACTCGCTCGCTTGCAAATATAAGTCTCATTAAGAGTTTCCTATCTCTCACATTGTGGAGCTTCGTGCGAAACCTCGACCTTGTTAATGTTGGAAACAACGAAGGGCATCTCAGGTTATACTACTACCGATTTCCTAGATGAAACAGGTTACATTACATCGACTGTTGTTACTACTTGTTTGCCTATTGAGAACATGTGGATTACTTTATCTGGTGATTGATTTCTATTTAGTTGTTGCCTTCTTGTTGTTTTCTTTTGGTGAAGAATGAAATGAAATTGAGAGCATGAATTTTAAGACTTTGATCAGCCTGTCAAGCATAAAAGTTATGCTCAATTAAGAATAGGAACTACTAGGCAGAGCTGAGTTTGTAAGTAGTTTTCGGGAAGCACTAATCACCTGAAACATAAGGCTAAAACAAAGGATTATTTATTTATTTATTTTTGTAGTTGTTACATTTAATAACATTACTTATGTGTATGTTGGAACGTTACACTCGTAGAGTCTGGGAATGGGTATTTTGGAGTATGGGAATGAGTATTTTGTCTTCTTGGAGTTAGGGGTGTCAAATGTGTCAGGTTGGCTCATTTCGTGTTGGGTTAGTTTCGGGTATGTGTCAAAAATTTCTGAACACAAACTTGACATGTTTAATAATCATGTCGAGATATATAAACATTAACCTGACCTGACCATTAAACATTATTTGAACCTAATATATTTGACACGTTTAATAAATAGGACATTTTCGAGTTAACACATAACAAGATATGTTTAACCAGTTTAACCCGACCGGTTTAACACATATATCATATTCTACATGTTTAACACCTATTTAACACAACCCATTTAACATGTTTGACCTATTTAACTCACATAACTTGTTTAACACGACATGTTCATCCAACTATACTCCAACTATTGAACAAACTATAAATCTTCTCACACAAAATAACTCCAGTATAGCGAGGAGGCATGTAAGAGAAATTTAGAATTCTCTTTTCCAACACCCATTCTTTATCAATGTAGTGTGTAATGAAACTCAAGTAACAGTCAATAATAATAGAAGTCCACAAGTTAGAAGTCAAACAAATCCTACGAGACACGTCTTGCAGTTCTTGATAAATCCTTCCTCTCTCTCTAGCATACAATTTCATAACATCCACCCTAGCAATATTCCTAGAAATTGGTACGACTTGAGGACATGAGTAGGTGAAAAGACTTCTAATGCTATCATACTCAACAAATTGAAATGGAAGTTCATGTCTAACAATTGCACAAATCAATAACTCTCTGAACTTGCCTGCATCAAATTTAAAAGACCTAGATCCCAAAGCACCATTGGATTGGATTGGATTATAAGTAGCTGACCAATATCATATGTGGTTTGCTTCAAACAAGTTACAGTGTGTTGCTTGAAATTCTCAGTGTCGTGCTTACTATCAATATTATAAACTTACTTACATTTCTTACATTCACATCTCAGCAATCCTTCTGGACTTGGTTCTTTAAGAAAAGTATAGTTTTCCCATACTTTTGAGATGAACCTCCATTGACGTTTGTTTGTTGGTTTATCAACACAATCCAATTCCAGCCCATCTTTAAGACCAAAAAGCATGATTTGATTCAACCATGACAACATCATCAACTAGAGGGGCAAGTTCATCGATATGTTCGTCATTCAATGGAAGTGAGTTCATCTGTTCCCAACACAAATGCCAAAAAATATAACACACATATAAAACAGTACATTTTTGGTCAAAATACAAAAAAATACACAAACTTCGAATTTGTATATATGTATTTTATTTATTTAGAATTTATAGTCGAATTTTTACTACTTGCAGGATAAAATTACAGTTGTAAATCACAGTTTAAAACTTGAAGCACAAAATTGCGGTTTGTGCTTCAAGCACGGTTAAAAACTTGAAGCACAAAATTACAATCGAATTTGTCCTGCTTGAAGCACAAAATCACGGTTTAAAGCTAGAGAGAGAGAGAGCAAAACCTTTCGGTTGAGCAATGACGCGGGCTTGAACGACGAGGGTTTGAACCTTTTTGGCTAAGCAGTAGGTAGGGCTGGTAATGGACCGGGTAAAATAGGTATTCGTTCAAACCCGTCTCGTTTGGATCGGGAATGGATCATACGTATTAGACGATAGACGTATATGGGGATACCCGTATAAACCCGTGCAGGGATGAAGGCGGAGATGGACTGACACTTACCCCCTCTCCTCCCCTCTTTACCCCGTTATTATTATTATTATTGTGAATACAAATTTACATATTATTAAATGATTTTTTCTTGGATAATTTACACTGAGACCCCCTGAGATTTGTCACTTAATCACTTAGACCCCTGAGGTTTGACATATTACACCTAGACCCCTAAGGTTGACAGGTAACTAACGAATGCAACGGAACTAATCAATAGACCTAAATGCCTCTAAGGTTGAGTATATAATCATCCCCGCCTTTTAGTCGTATCCTAGTGTCTGTAGTGTCTTGAGAGTCAGTTCACATTACGTTGTTTGCTCTCCTCCAGATGAAGAAAGCTTTGGGTCATCTGAAGATTAGCTCTAGCTTCCTGTCGAGTTTGTTCTCCTCCAGGTGGTGAGAGGTACACATTTTAATTAGGATTTTCTTAGGAAAAATTAGGATTTTTTTTCCCTTTTTGTTTTAGTGCAATACACTTCATAAGTAGAATACGAATGGTTCTAGCTCACAATGCAAATGGTTTTAGAATATGAATGGGGTTTTGAGAAATCTGTAGTGTTCACTCAAAAAAAAATTTGTAGTGAGAGATTTTGATTTTTTTGAAAATTTTATACCGATTAAGGCTTTGTTCTAGAAAAAAATTGATTTTTTTTTCGATTTTGGTTTTACTGATTAGAAATCTATATTGATTAGGGCTTTGTTAAAACATATCAAATCAATTTTTATTTTTATTTTTGGATTTTAAGAAAATCTTTGTATTGATTAGATGTGAGTTATTCTACATGTATTTTTTTTTTTTTTTGGAAATATCTATTCTCATTAGAATTGTTGTTCTTCAAGGTTTTTTTCCCCTGAAATATTTGTTCTATTTCATCCTCTATTTTTGGTTTCCTTATTCCACTGTTTGTTTATAATCTAACAAATTGTTCTCATGAAAGTATTGTTTTGATTTGTTCAATTATAGGATGGTCAATGTTTGCTACCATGACCTCATTGTACATTACTTGGCAAATCAATTTTTTGTGAAGAATATTGACCATGGTAAGTACTTTTATTTGAACCTGTTAAGTGACGTGTGTGACGTGGCTTTAAAAGATGTTCCCTCTGCCATAAGCACTTTTATAACATTGACTTGTTCTATCCCTGGGACCACTCAAGAAATGGGTATAAGAACTGATGTAGATGTTCTTGAGATGTTCAAGTTACACAACAATTGTGCAATGATTCACTTGTATATCAAAGATGTTCAATTTCAACAACCATTAGCTGTGCAAGTTCCTAATCCCCAACTCTATTGGAATGAAGGAAGTAATGTTGATGATGAAGAAGTTGGGTTTGAGGATGAGCAATTACAATTTAGTGATGATGATGGGTGGTGTGTGCACACTGAAAGTGATATTAGTTTGAGTGATGTAGAGATAGGGGATATGTAGATAGATACAAATGATGTGGAAGATGGTGGACCACTGTCAAACTATCAGTCAAACAGTGAGAGTGCGCAACATGTAGATTCTGATGATGAGCTTGAGGATGACTCATTGGATGTTTCACTTTGGGGTAAAATAGTCAATGTCGGGGAAGGTGCAAAAATTGAATTTGAGGCAGGAATGTTATTTCCAAACATCAATGCATTTAGAGATGCATCGAAAGAATATGCGATTCAAGACGGATTCCCATTGGTTAGAGATAAAAATGAAGCTGTAATTACTGCTATTGGTCAAATTGTTTCTCAATCTTTTATAGCTAATGCTAATAGAACTGATGCATTTCAGGTATAGTGAAATGGTAAAATTGTTAAATGCATTAAATCACATACATGCTAAAAATGTATTGAATTTGAGTAAGTGTGATCGTAGAGTCAAAGTCGTTCAACTGAAAATGTGTCCCAAATGTTCGGTTCAAGAAGGGCATCTCAGTTTCTTGGAAATGCAAGAATGGAAGGTTTGGACATTCACCTTTATAGTTAATCTTATATGCTATATATCAAAATTTAATAAAAGCAAATGATCATATGACTAATATGTTCACATTACTAATACATTTCTCAGGGATGAGGAAAGAAAAAAATTATGTCTTCAAGAGCTGGAGTAACAGTGATTGTCACTCAAGAAAGAAGTAACAGAGGCAATGAACCTGCTATAACTGAAGTGGCAGTGGATTCTAAATATTCAATGTTCTGATTTTCTGTGCATATGTTTCTAGCTGGGAAATTGCTTTTGTTGTTGGCATGGTTTAATTTGAGTAGGCAGGGGCTTTTGTTGGCAGTTTTTCTTTTGTATGGTTTTTTTTGGATGCTTGCATATATTTTTGGCTCCCTGCATATTTTGGATGTCTGTGTAGTTGATGTAAATGTAATTATGTTTAGTCTACAAGGTTTGAATTATGAACACTTTCAGTAATATTTGGATGATAAATAGAAAATATTGCTTAGTGTTTTGCCAAGTTTGTTTTTATAGAATCTCTTTGATATGGAGAGTGGCATCTAATATGGTAGCACTACTTTGGTGGGTGTTCTGAATCTGATTAAGCAGTATGGTAAATGTGGGTATTGAATTTTTATTGAAGATGATTCTCTATCACTTGTTAATTATGTCTTAAGGAAGAGTGGATGTGCTTGGCATTATCTAAGGTTGCTGGATCAGATTTGGACTTGTTGCAGAATATGGATTTTCATCTGATGCATATTTTTAGATAGGCCAATGGTGAAGGAGACAGACTGTTTTTGGTTGTGTTTCTGTTAGGCGTTTTTGCCTTGGTTTTGCTTATTGTAAAATTCGGTTTTTTTGTAAATAAATAAAATTAAAAAAAAATGGCAGCACTAGTCTTTACGGACATTACTCCAACGGTAATAAGATGGGAAGTTGGTTTGGGCAGAATAACCAATTACTAGTGGGCCCCATATAAATAGTAGATTGAAAAATTAATTTTA